GAATGCAAGATTTTTATCTGATCTCTCCTTTTCCATCAGTTGCTACAGAGTGAATTATTTATTAAAGTCTTCTTTAATATCTTAATAATCATTTCAGACTATACAGCATGCATTAATAATTATTACTGATCATTAAAAACTCTTGTGCCTTCCAGTTTGAGCTTCTTCGGTGACAGACCGAAACCTCGTCTCTCCGAGGCTTTGATCTGTGTTCGCCGCTGGAGTGCCCCGAGCCGGCTGGTTTCAGGGCTAAGCCACCCTGTAGAGGTGGTGAAGAGGGGGGAGACTGCCTGCAGGGTTGAGGAGAGCCGTATCTCTCCTCCCCAGCTGGCCATTACTCCCTTTGCCGAAGGCAGTTGTAGCGGTGGTCAGAAATGGCCACCACAAAGAAGAACTCGACTGGAAAAGAATGTTCAGGAGGAAGATAAGAAGAGAAAGTTTTGGTTGACCGGGTCAAACAGCAAAAACAACAAATAAGGTACCCTGGAATTTAAACTTAACAACACTGTTCCCAAAGATTTTGAAGCTGCGAAGGAGAGAGAGAAGGGAAAGGATTAGGTTTTTTTTCTTCCCTTCCTTATACTGAAAGCTAAGAGTCTTAAGCAAGAAACTGAAAAAAATCCACTTTGACATTAATAGGCATCTATGCTGAAAATAAAAGTCAAGGGGATAATAAAGATTTCTGGACATTTAAAAGTTTTTAAAAGCTGGAAAGGAGGGGGGGGGAAAGAGAATAGAAGGGCAGGATCTCGAAAAATGGAGGAGACTGCCTGGAATTAAGGAATGGAACTGTAATTAAAAGGAACTTACAGTGAAACAAGATTTAACAAGATTCCTCAAAGATACATTTTAATTGAAACTTGGTAACAAAATAATAGAACCCCAGGAAGAGAAAGTGGAAAAAAGAAGCAAGTAGAAAGAGCCTTGGATTATTTGGATTACTTGGTGCTTTTTGGTTTTGGAAATCTAGATGACTAAAATTAACTGGGTGGTTGTTTAAAAGTTTTTAAAATGGTATCACTCTTAGAAGAACTGAAAACGGAACTTAAAAAATGGAAAGAAGATGCACAAGAAGGGAGAAGTTCTTTTGGCTTCGTGTTTCAATTCTTAGAAATGGAGATCTGGAACTATGAGAAGCAACAAGAAACACTTGCAGAACAAGAAGATTGGAACAAAGAAGAAGCCATCTTTAATGATCAAATAATTTTAAGTGGGGGGAAAAAAGAAAAGGAGGGAAAAAGAGTGAAAGGTTTAACACTAGAAAAAACAACCAAAAGGAAGAACAATTTGAAAGATAAGTATAATATTAGAAAGCAACAGAAGAGGGGATTACAGATGAGAGAGTTAGAAGTCGAGAGACTAGGGGGTAAAAAGGGGAGGGAGAAGAAGAGGGGGAAGAAGGCAAGGAAAAGAAGTTGTAAAAGACAGGAACAAGAAATGGAGAAACAGGGAAAAGATATAAGGATTGTAACCATAAGTTGGTTTAGAGATAATGGGTGAAAATTTAATTGTAAAAGGGATTCTGCAAAGGTACATAAGATAGCTTTGTTATATTACAATAGAAATAACTTTAGAAAATATGATGATGGATAAAATATTTATTGTAATGCAGTGGGATGTTTGTTAATAAATAAATGAATTAAAATGATTGAGAGAATTAAAAAGGAACATTTTTATTTATTAGTAATGATATATAAAAATATAAGTGAGAAATGTGGGAAAAAAAGAATTAACTATGGAAAGTTTATAAGTGTTCCCAAGGAAGTATGATATTTAATTGAAAAGAAATGTTAAACATGTTAAGATTTTAATGAATATTAATGATAGAATTGAATTGGAATGGAATGTTTTATTTACATATATATATAATTTTTTCTTTTTAAGAATATAGTGTCTATTTTAAGAATGTACCAAGCAGAATTCAATTGGAAGTTATGTATTATATTGAATGCTATAATCTTAAAGCTATACATTGAAGCTTAAATAAGAGCTTGAATGGATAAAATTAAAGGATATAAAGGTGTCATACTCTAATTGGTAACTACAGGGAAAAATTTGCTTAATAAGAAAAGATAATGTGAAATTGTGACAGGACAGACAAAAGTATAAATATAATGATTTGAATTGAGATAATTAAAACAAAGTTGAGAAAATTAAGAGGGGGAAAAACTATGTAGAAAATATAAAATGGTAATAAGATATGGAATAGAATATAAAAATGAGCATGAAATTGAGTTTTGTGTCTGTATGAAGAAGTGATAACCTGGGACCATGCTATTTTCAAAAAAGATGTTTTATTTGTATTTTGTTTTTGTGAAAAAAAACCCAAAAATTAAAAAAAATCCCAAACCTCTTGTGTATTTAGTTTCATACTGGTATAAATTAAAATAAATTACTAAAATCTCTACCAAAGTGTAGAAAAATGAGTGGTCATTTACTAATGCAGTTTGATTTGAATTCACTCAATTTCTTTTAATCAATCTATACATTTTCATTTTCAATATTGAAAAATGTTATTAAAATTAACAATGGTACCGCCTTGAAACCATACTTGAAATTGTTTTAGAAATCCTGATTCTTAAAAAAAATGTGTTGTTATCAATGCATAATCCTTTTGCAATCCAATAACAGAAAAATAAATGTACCAACTTTTTGATGAACAGATGTTTCTATAAAATAACGCAAAATATTATACCTTTAATTCACAATAAATAAAGTTTAACATGCTTTTTTATTTCAAGAATTATAAAAAGGATTAGCAATCAGAGCCTATTTTATTTTAATATTGGCTGCACAAAACTACTAATTACCTTGATGTAATGTATTTTTTTCAGTTTGCTCCCTTAGTTGATGACTAAATAAGCACATTGTTACTAGAATTCCATATTATTATTATTATTATTATTATTATTATTATTATTATTATTATTA